CAGCTTTCTGAGGTGAAAATCTTTAAAACCCAGGTCATAGGTATACTGTTTGGATTTAGTGTAGTCTTGAGTCTAGTGTTCACAAAGAATTTTTCAAGTGATATCTAGAAAAATTATAATTATTAAAGTGGATTGAGTCCCTTAGATATTTTGATAACATTAAAAGCTATCAAGTCCTATACTCTTCTTATTCAAAAAGTTAAATTTTATAGGCTTTAAACTTGCTAAATTAAACAGTATACAGCCCCGAAAACAAAAGTATACTTGTATTTGTCACAAAGAAAAAAATGCAAAATGATAATATAGTTATGTTGTAACCTTGTTTTTATACCTTTCACTCTGACTTGTAAAAAATTGAGGCATTTATGGTGAGAAGAATATTATTTCCCCCCACACTATCTGGAGGGAGGGATAGGAGGAGTTAGTCAGTTGTGCCAAGCTAGTGCTAAGAGTCCTCAGATGGTTGTATACTACAAGTTACAGTATAAAGCCAAAATGCAGCAAAATATCCAGTTACAACTTTAGTCATTTTAAGTTTAATCTTTTGGTTTGATATAATATTAAAGCTTCTAAGTAGGTTTTAGATTCCTTCCCTAGAGTGTATTGTTAGTGTTGATTTTCCCTGTTTAAAAACAAAACATTAAGTTATGGCTCCTGCCTGACTTGCATTGTATACTAGACTTCATTATTGTCTCCCATGCTCCTTGGGTTACTTGGTTTATGCTAGCCATGAAAAGCTCTCAGAAACAGTTTCATGCTTCTACCAAAGAATTAAATCTGATCCTTAATATCTGGTATTTTGCCAGTAAGTCTACTGATAAGGGATTATTGGAAGCCAGTTACACAATTTGAAAATAAATTTTAGTCTCTCCTTAGGCCAATGCTTCACTCATTGCAAAACATTTTTGCAAGTATAAATGCTTAGGTTTTATTCATTAACAATACATTTTAGACTGGTTTAGAATTACCAGTATATTTTAAAGCCAAGGATAAACAACTGAGCAGTTTGCTGTCTTTAGAACAGTTTGTGAAAATATGGAATAAAGATGTTTTTGTTTTCTTGTTATTTTAAATATTGTACAGAGCTATTATTATTAATGCATTTTTTGGGAAAACCTTAAAAATTGCCCCAAGTATTGACATAGTACATCAAACCACAACACAGTATTGTTAGTATATTAAACTTTTGTTCTTCGTGCATCTGTAATTTCATTTTCTTTTTAAATATAAAATTTTGCTTTTGTTATAACTAAATTAAAATTCTTCAGTGCTAATGTGTTATATATAAACAAAAGACTATGCTTTGTTGGAGGAAATTTTTCTTTCTTAGATTGTGGTTGTTGTCATCCATTTTCAGTTCTTAAAGTTTTATTTTTTAAATAAGATGCAACTTAAAATTTCCTTTGCATCAAGGTGTATGCAAAACATTGATGCAGTGCATCACAAAATGAAAGTTTATATTTAATGAGGAGATGCTTTACACTGTACTTTTTAGTGTTTTTTGGAAAAGTTACATTTAGATCTATTCTGAAGCTGTTCATTTTTAACAAATAAAATGTTACAGGTCTCACATGATTTATTCTTAGCTGTAAAGATTGAGTTGTGGTTTTTAGATTGTTCTATGTAACAAAAAACTTGGTAATAATTATATTTATAATTTTTAGGATTTAAAAAGCTACATGCCAAACTAAATTGGTAAATCAACCTAGACTCATAATGCATTTCTGTAACTGCCTTTTTTTTTTTTTTTAATATATTTTATTGATTTTTTTACAAGAGAGGAAGGGAGAGGGACAGAGAGTCAGAAACATCAATGAGAGAGGAACATGGATCAGCTGCCTCCTGCACACTCCTCACTGGGGATGTGCCCGCAACCAAGGTACATGCCCTTGACCGGAATCGAACCTGGGACCCTTGAGTCCGCAGGCCGATGCTCTATCCACTGAGCCAAACCGGTCAGGGCTGTAACTGCCTTTTTAACCATTTTATTCATAGGTCCAACAGGAAGTAGCCAGGAGTTGAAATAGAAAATCAAATTTACTTAGAATGCGGACTCTTAGGCTGAATGATCCTATAGAGAGCATCTAGTTCAACCCCTCTATTTACATCTTAGTTAAATGAGACACAGCTTTTCAAGACTTGTGCATGGCAATCACTTTTTGATCTTAGATCTTTTGATTCTCAGTTCCTAATAAACTGCTCCTGTGAATTGAATACCCATAGAAAATAGTAGAATGGTGTGAGCTTGTCCGATATCTAAAAAGTGGTAATAGCCGAAGCCGGTTTGGCTCAGTGGATAGAGCGTCGGCCTGGGGGCTGAAAGGTCCCGGGGTT